AAAAAAAAAAAAAAGTTACACAGAAGGCAATGAAAGCAATGACACATTATTTCAAACAATTACCACTTTAATCTGAAACACGAGCAATTTTTTGCCTTACAGATTTTTAGTTTTTCCCTGTTCTCGTTTGATTTTTTGAAGTCGTTGTTAAAACAACGACGTCGACTTTTTCCTTCCTCCATTGCCGCGATGTTGACTTTGTAACCACCTTGTCGTTTCCAGGCTCCACGGATATTACGCTGAGGTACCGGGCTTCCTAGCTCCAGACTCCTTTTCCAATTTTGTTTTATTATTTTTTTCCTTTTCCGACCGACCGACCCAAAATCAGAGAACGCATTCGACAATAAACGAAAAAAAAAGGAGGGATGGTCTTTGTAGAGGAAAATGTTCTGAAACAAAGTTTTTTAAAAAAAATCAAACTGAGTTATAAAATTCTAAAACAAAAAGCAGATTTAAACAAGAATACTGCGTGAATACTGCAGTGAGTGATGCGAACTGTGAAGTGCGGGTGAAAGGTCTTTTTTACTTCCAAAAAAAGAAACATGTATGTCAATATTTTGTTACAGTGTCCACGTGATCAAAGTTCCTGCCCAGACATAGTGTTGTTTCGTCGGTTCTTGGCGGAAACAAAGTTTTCATATTAGGTGATCAAGCGTATGTTTCCTAATAAGACAACCAGTTAGTAATGTTTAAAAACGAGTTTGAAAAGCGACAAAAGCGAAGGAAGCGACCAGCAAGCGATGCAGCGGAAAATTACCGAGAACGCCCTAAACATCCCTTGTCTTCGCGTTGGGAGAAATACATCCAGCATCGAAACACTCGGGCATCACCTGCTCCATCAACATCAAAGCATGTGGAAAAACATCGTCATTCTCGCCGCTCACAAAGAGAAAGGAAAGAATTGAGGTTGAAGTCGTGGAGGTCAAAGCGCAGGGATAAAGGAGTTTCTCGTCCTCACAGACAAGATGGAATTGGAAGCCGACTGTTTCGCCCTTTTCAAGATGCACCAGCGAAAGCTCGCAGACAAGATAGAAGTCGACGGCGTGGTGTCGAGAGCTCTACTGTAAACAACTCTGGAAACAGTACATCGTCGGAAGACGAACAAGAACCAACACCGACGCGTTTACGACTGCTTCGCCCAATTCAAGATGCACCAGTGACAGATTACGAGCCGGCAGCGAAGTATCAACGGTTTAACCCATTTGCAGGGAGAGAAGAAACGATTATACACGAAATAACGCATCCCCCAAAAGCTGCTGGAGTTCAGGTTGTTTACACAAGAAATGCAACTGAAGCAGAAAGGTGGCTGAGGGAACATATCGTAGACTGCTCAACTAGGGCCGTTGGCTTTGATACTGAACAGAAACCTCAGTTTGTTAGCAAGAAACAAGGCGGTACTGAAAACGAGACAGCTGTGCTTCAGTTAGGAGTTGAAACATCTTGCTTGGTGTTGCATATTTACCACATGAGCGAGATGCCGGAATCCCTTGAGTCGATTCTGAGGGATGAAAATATCCTGAAAATCGGAAGCGCAATCGATAAAGACGCTTCAAAGCTCACAAGAGAAAGCGGTTTGGTCTGCAGAGGATTAGTGGACACCCAGCATATGGCGACATCTCTTGGTCTTCAGAAGATCGGACTCAAAGCCCTGGCGGAACACTTTCTCGGTATCGAGCTCGACAAGGGTTTAGCGCTGACCGACTGGGAAAACTTTCCTCTGCATTTAATGCAAATTGAATACGCTGCTCTGGACGCGTGGGTGGGTTTGAAAGTTTACCAAGAGATGAAACGCCAAAAGAAGAGCTCGAAAGATTTCAAGACATCACCCAAGATTAATCAGGGCTTTTTTGCACACTTCCTAAGCATGAAACGTCGATGCCAAAGAAAATAAAATAAACTGTCAGGAAGCCGGCGAACGCAAATAGATTTCAGCCTAAGTAAACGTCTGCACAAAGTATCTTAAGACGACGAAAACATAAACTTTCAGTTAACTCTTTATGGTTTCTACTACATTGTATATAGCGTCCTTGTTGTTACTTCCTTGTGTCGCCGATGGCAAAAAAGGAACAAGAAAATAGGTGAAAAAATCGAGGGAACTACTGGTTGATAATTTTATTATGACTGCAAAGACTTAACATCAACATTGATTTTGCGAGAAAAGCGACGGCAAGCTTGAAGCCGTGTTAAACGGATGGTTATGCGCAAATTACATGTAGATACATGTAGAGGAATTGCGTGGTACATTTTTACGCTTCGTGGCATGAGAGGGCAAGTACTATTAAAAGAATTCTCGTCACGTAACGGACGCTTTGATTGGCTGTTTAGCCATCTGAGCTGAGGCTACAGTTTTTCACAAAACGCTCACTGGCCGATGCAAGCACTCGGGAACGTTTTGAAAAATTTAAAAGAAGTACTTAAGGTTATAATTTACGTTAACGTTTCTATTCCCTAATTGTTTATACTTACAGAGTGTGTTGAAGCCTCCTTTCTTTGTTAAAATATCTTTTT